AATGATCCAGAATCTATTTAGCAATATTTAAATGCTGAAAATAATCTTTTTTTTTTCGTTCACCGTTCTTGCCTGAAGAACTTATCTTTTTCTTCTTCTCTTCATTTTGACGCTTTTCAATGTTTTTTTTTTGTTTTTGTTCGTTAATTAAACTTGTATCTCTCCTTTTTTTTCATTTTTGGTGAGAAATTCGTTTGTTTTTTCTCTTTTAGGATTTTTGTTTGTTTGTTTGCTTCCCAAATGGATCGATTGATATTAAATATATGATGATATAATCAATCAATCAATGTAACCGATCATCATCATTTATGAAATAAACATTGTTTTATTCAATTGAAATGTTTAAAACGACCATGGCCTTTTTTTCTTTTCTCTTTAGAAATCTTTTGTTTTCACAGGATTTAATGATGATCAGAAATTTTCAATAAAAATTATAATTAAACTACAACTACCAAGGATTAATCGTCAACTTTTGAGATGAAAATGGAAAAAAAAATCGAAAGTATACTGTATCCATTCATGTTTACAATGATTAACGCTTGACATCAAAATGGCGCTCTAATCGCATTGTTTTCATATTTTGCTCTTTCATTGTTGTTTCTCTTTTCAAATCCAAATAAAAAATAAAAAATACTTTAAGGCCAAATGGATGCGGCTATATGTGTTTATGGATGGATGTTTGTCTTGAAGAAACTGATTATATAACTGAGAAATAAACAAAAAAAGCTGTTAAATAGTAAACAAGCGCATGTTTTCTTCATTGAATTTGAAAATGCAACAAGCTATTTTCAACAAGAAAAAAAATTATCATTTTTAAATGATCCAAACAAACATGTTTTTTACTTCATAATTCAATTGATGCAATCCTTATCATCGATCGAACGAATGTAAATATTGATTATGTAATAGAAGAGAAATACGAAGGGAAGGGAACGAAATTGTTCTACCACTTTTGTTTTTTCGTTGTTGTTGTTGTTGATTAATCCAATCCAGTAAAAATTCAATCCACCAATCATCATCATTATCATTATCGTTCATTGATTCATTCATTCATCATTTACGACAAAATCATCAAGCAAACATTAAATGAAATTTTCTCTCCATCCATTCATTCAATTTAACTAACTCTGTGTAATTTCTCTCTTTCAAAATTAAATCCTGAAAATCAATTTTCAGGATTTAATTTCGTTAAATTTTTGTTATCGGTGTTTTTTTTTGATAATATTTATGTGAACTGCTGCCTTTCATCATCATCCTTGTTATCATCATTGATTGAAAAGTGTCCAAAAAAAAATTGTTGTTTTTCCTTGTTTGGTTTTTGTTATTATTGCTACTTTTGAACCAAAGAAATTCTTCCTTGTTTCCTTGTTTGATTGACTGATTAATATTTTTTGGGTTTTTGAAAAATCAAATGAAAATGAAAGTTTTTCTTGGTTGTTTTGTTTTTGAAATGGTGAACAAATAATGATGTTTTGATCAAGGTTGTTTCTTTTTTTTTGGTGTTTTTTTTTCGGTGGTGATGGTGGTGGTTTTTATCACGATAACAGATAACTAATCATTAGTTTCTTTTATTTTTGTATTGGTCATCATCATTCGTGGTCATCGAACGCATCATTTTCCTTTTGTTTTTGTTGAATTTACCCCAAAAAAACAAAAAACAAAAAATGTTGATGTAAATCACGAGGAATTGATTTTTTTGTTTTCGGGAAAAAAAAGAGGAATTTTTTTTTGTAATAAAAATCGTTGATTTTTTTTTTCTCAGTAATTTCTTCAAATTGATTGTAATTTTCAATCAATCAATCATTTGTGATTCTTAATTTCAGTGATATTCAAGTGATTCATAATCAACCAAGTGAAGTTTTATCCCAAAAAAATGGCTAAAAAAATGACCAATGGTTCTGTGGATAATAATAATTTGTTGATGACAAACGGTAATAATCAATCAAAATCAAATGGAATTAACAATCATAATCATAATGATAAATCAAATGGATCAATGATAATTGGTAAAACATTTGGTCGTTATCTTTATGAAAGGTAAGTGTTAAAAATCAAAAAATCAAAATCAATCAATCGATTTTTGGTATTAATTTTTTTTTTTGAAACCAAAACAAAATAAATAAATAAAAACTTTTGATTGATTCAGTTTTAATCATGGAAATCTTGATGAATTATTTCGTCCTGGACAACAATCAATTGAAAATTATAATTTAACATTAGCACATCAACGTGCAAATTGTGCATTAGATATGTATCTTGGTGAAAATAATGTACAAGGTGGTATTGAACGTTTTGCCGATATTATTGATGAAGGTCCAATGGAATCATTATCATGGGCTGCTTGTTTTGTAATACGTGCCGGTCTTACACTTGATAAAGTAAGTTTTCATTTTCATTTCTTTTTTTTTCTCTCGAAATAAACTTTTTCCGGAAAAGTTTTTTTTTCACAATACAAAATCATTATCATCATTCATCCAGCAAAACAAAAAACCAAGCCAAAAAAACTTTTTTCATATGTTTTGTTTTTGATTTGATTTGATTGTTGTTCTTTTTGGTACAATTTTTTTTGACCTAATCTTTTGTGATTCTTGATGATAACCGAAACAAAAATCGAATCAAATTGATAAACTTTGAAAACAAAAAGTTTTTGCTGTTATATTTTGGCGCAAAAACATCTTTATTTTCGACAATCATCATTATCATCATCTAATCAAGAGTAAATCTTTACAGTTGAGAAATCGAAAATTCTATTTTGAAAAGTTTGTTTTTGTGTAAATGTTGAATGTACAACGACAACAACAACAACAACAGAAAAACAGTGTCACATCGATTTCATCAACATCATTATCATTATATTATGAATCAAACGGAAAATAAGAAGAAAAAAAAGTTTTATTCCAAATCATCATCATCATCATTATGATGATTGTTTGGATTCGATTCTCACACGTTTTCTTCAAACCAAATCAAACAAAAAAAAAAA